CTAAGAATGCATGTCTCTTCAAATGTGATGCTAAATTGCAATTTTACAGAATACAGATCATAAGATGGTCATATTCACCAGTTTTATACTTCATGTATTATTATAAATTATGAAGCATGTCAATACATAAAAGAACATGAAGACTGTAGAAATTGTTCATCATACAAGCCAGTATGTGAACAATATTTATTTGATTAGAGGCGTTTTAAAAATGCAGCATACTGCTTCATACAGACATTGCATTCTCTGAAGGATTTATGAGCCTTGCAACAGGGAACTGGCACTCTCATTCTAGGCACATTGATTTGGGAGTAATTCTCCTTTGAGTGCTGGTCTTAAATATTTCAAATATTTCCATATTTTAAAATTCTACTAAAACTACTTACTGGTTCTTGCTGTGCTATAGCATACTTTCAAATAATTGCTTCTTAGTATGAGATAACAATATTTAAATCTGATCACCTTCCCAGCAGGCTAGAAGAGTAGAACCTAGCTCATTTATCTCCAGGGATAACAGAGAAAATTTAGAAACCGGATCCCATATCTACTCATATATAAGTCTACCTCACATATAAGTCAAAGGCAGGCTTGGGATCCAAAATTATGGAATTCAATATGACCGTCGGGTAAGTCGAGGGCCATCCCACAGAGAAGGGAAGGCACCAGTGCCATCTCAGGGGGCAAGGTGCTCCTGGCCACTGCTGCCATTTTCCCACCCAGAGTTTTTAAAAAGCCAGAAGCAGCACCTTGGGAGAAAAAGTAGGGTGTCACTCCTTTTTTTAGGTTCTCTGAGACTAAGTTCTCAAATTTTGCCACTCTATTTAGAGAAACAGATTGTTTCTTTTTTGATAAAAATTAAGATATAGTCGGCCCAGGTTTTGGGGTTGATTTTTTAAACTAAAATTTGTGGTCCTTTACATGTGTACATACATTACTACTTTGAGGAAAGATCTGTTTGTACTTCAAATGATTGAGATAGGGCTTAATAAAACTCCAATTTTTACCCTTTCCCCATGTCCTTGTCTGCAGGCAAGCTGCATAATGGGATATTTGGTAATATTTTGCATAAACCTCCCATACTTCCATTCAGCCCTCCTTCAGGATGCCATTTATGGGTTTCAGAGGAACAAGCTTTGACCTTCCACTTTCTCATTGCTTTGTCTGCATACCTAAATAGATGAACGGAGGGAAAGCATAGGACTATGTTGAACCCTTTCAGGATCTTTGACCATAATAATAAAATTCATTCAACATGGTTAATGAGATAGTGTCAGCCACCAGACTTGGGCATAAGGGGATAGTTTAGTGGGTTTAGGACATATTGTATCTACTATTGATCTACTCACATTTGCATGTTTTCAAACTGCTAGGGTGGCAGAAGTTGGGGCTAACAGTGGGAGCTCACCCCACTCCCTGGATTTGAATCATAGACCTTTCGATCAGCAAGTACAACAGCTTAGCAGTTTAACCCACTGCAACACTATAGAGATCATGTTAACTATAAAGAACTACAAAATCTAAAGTTTTGTTCAGAAACAGAAGTGTTCAAAAAGTAAGTGTGTGTGTGTGTGAGATCAAGGTTTAGTCAAGCCTAGCCCCACAACTTGAATGCAAAACTCTATGGGGAAGTATACAGTAGTTATTGTTGTGTTGTTCTGCTCAACCCCTCTTGAAATGACATCCAACCTACGTTTGTGTGGATTCTTGAAAGCAACAGTCACCATGCTGTGCCTTCAGGCCTCAGGATTTGCCCTCTCTGCTGCTAGCTTCATATCATCATTCGTCACACTACATATCTCCACTCAGGGTGCTTTGTGACAGATAGGTTTTTAAAGGCAGCTGTTGGAAAAACATGATCCCTGTCAGGACAAAGTACCCCTTCTCCTTAGTAAAAAGAGTAGATTCATTTTTAGCAGTTAACATTCCACCCAGCACTAACCTGCCTCCCACAGTTGGCACATCTGAAGTCATAGAAAGCACGTGACTGTTTTCTCTGTCTTTTTTGCAAAAGCATTCATTTAAATTCATGCCATTTCTTATCTCTAATCCGCATAATGTTTGTCTTAAGCAGACACTACCCATGATGCTATGCTCGACTCTTTGCTGGGGAAAATTATGCATAGTGTCACAGAGGGCCTTTCTTCCTTCCTATGTAGACTGCAGAGCTGAAAGGTCTCCGTGCATTTGCAGATCAATATTGCTGAATTGCAGCCTATTTATTACATGTGGAATAATTATTCTCATTTTAGTCTGTGGATTCCAGTCTAATACAAAAACTATACTCTATTTTGCAGTGTTTCACAATATCAAAATGTCTTTTCTGTGAAGCTTCACATTTAGCTATGATGCAGTGAAGCTTGTTAAAATCACAACAGGTATAAAAAGCGTAGATTAAAAAATGAGAGTGCCCTGCGAGGAGTGGGCTTTCTCATTGCCAGTCACCACCAAGCTGAGCCTTATGCGGTAAGAGACAGATACTCTTTTTGAAGCTTCTTAGCAAATAAGAAGAGGCCATTTCTTATAGTGCAAAAACTACTCTCGTCTGTATGTGTATGTAAGTTATATTCTTTGTGTACACTTGCATGCTTGTACACAGCTCTGGATTATTGGCAGCTCTGTATTGGTGTATTTGTCTTGGATATGTGTGTGCCCCCAATCTAATATTTTTTGCTGACTGGTGGTTTTGAGATGGATTGCTGCTTGTTTATGGTAGTAAGTGCATCGGGAAAAGCCTTATGTGGAGCCAAGAACAATGGGAAAAGATTACCAGCTGGCTAGGAAGAATTGTGGCATTGAATTAAACCTGGGTGTGGAATATGAGCCCAAAAATCAATGTTTCCGCCTTGAAGGACCGTTAAAGCACATGCCCATTGGGGATGGTTGGTGGAAGTCTCTTGATTTATTGTTACAAAACTTACTCACTGCTTGCAAGCAGTTCTAGTGTAGCTTTACTTATCTTGTCTTGCCATCCATTTACACTTTCAGCTTTCCCCTAGAAACCAAGAACAGAAAAATGCAAAAAAAGAGATCAAGCCATAATAAAAGCCAGTTATAAAGCCATTGAAAAATAGCCCCATTGGAAACTCCAGGGAGCTGACCCCTTAGGGACATTTGGATTTGTGGGATCATGGCTTGATATTTGAAGCTATGCTGATCTTTGGATGTTTTCAATACCAACACTTTTCCCATTACAAATTCTCAAAGAGGGAGATCTTTTAGTCCTGAGCAAGGGGATAAACTAAAGCTTTGGTAATTTGCTCTACATAGACTTAATTCTCAGGGGCAGAGGAGGAGTGTAGTTATTTTTTTTCTAGTATTTGTGAGGTACTAAAGGGAGAACATATGTGTGAGCTTGTTGTCGGTCACTTCTTTGCTCAGTCTCAGCCTTACAGCAGGATGGATGTTGGGAATCCCCCACTTCCAGGCATCAGGCTGAATTTAAATGGCCTTCTGGCTTCCCTTCTGTTGCTACAATGCTGTGATTCAAGCTGTGTAAAGAGCAGTTACTTGACGTTTAAGCTTACAAAATAGCGCTTGCTATCTATTGATAGCTTCCACAAAAGAGCTTACTTTGTCGAAATGTGCAGTCCCATTTTTCAGCCCAGCTTTTCGAGATACAGTTTTTTTCTTTGGTTTGGTACTAAACTAAATGATGATGATGATGATGATAAACTTTATTTATATCCCACCCCCTCCCCAAAAGGACTTGGGCGGCTTACAACAAAATTAATTTTATATATATATATATACACACACACACACACATACACACACACACACACATACACACACACACACGTGTCAGGGCGATTTGAGAAAATGCAAGTTGCTTTTGGTGTGAGATAATTGGCCATCTGCAAGGACGTTGCCCAGGGGACGCCCGGATATTTTGATGTTTTACCATCCTTGTGGGAGGCTTCTCTCATGTCCTTGCATGGGGAGCTGGAGCTAACAGAGGGAACTCATCTGCGCTCTCCCCGGACTTGAACCTGCGACCTGTCAGTCTTCAGTCCTGCCAGCACAAGGGTTTAACTCATTGTGCCACCAGGGGCTCCTAACAAAATGAAATCATAACACATATATAAGCAAAAGCACAAAGAGAGGACATAATATATTACCAGCAATCATAAGCAGGTTACATTAACTTGCTGATGGATCCACAGCTGTAGCATTTTGTATGGTCTGAATTGTAACAACAAGAAATATTTAAGAAATGCTTAAAGTATAGCGAGTGCTTTTGTCTAATAGACAAGACAATTAGTTTTGTCTTTCAAAGGCAGGAACAGAAGAGTGTTGCTTAAGAAATTTTAACCTGAGTCTTCAGGCCTTCTGCTCAATATGCTGTACTTCCCCCCGTCAGGCCAAAAAATAAATGTGTATGCTTCATAATAAATTCCATTATATCAGACATATCACCTGGTGCTGTCCAGACAATTGTGAGCTCCATGTGATTAACAATAGCTTTTCTCTCCACTTGGCTCTCTGCATAGCTTTCTCCACACTAAAGTAAACATTTTGTCTTCTTTCTGCATTATCTACTTCTTACATTTTCTACTTTTTCAAAAACCATAAAGCTGTGTAAAATGACACATTATTATTCTCTTTTATTTTATTTCAATGCTTTTAAACATTAAACTCTCACACTTGTCCGAGTGATTTCACGGTTAGTCCTGTAATAATTATGTTGGCCATCCTGCAGTCTCATGCTTGGTATATCAAACATTTCTGCATACTTTAACTGGTATAATATAATGGTGCCTTTTTCAGATGTAGCACATCCGATGATCAATAAGGTAGACTGTATAGTTCATCTTCTCTGCTGCCATTTGTGGTAATTTTTTTCTGCTCCTGAAAGGAAAGCAACTGCATGATAAAATAGAACGGTTGACTTTCTCTTCTTCTTCTTCTCTCCCACTCCCTAGGTCTTATTGTTGGCTCTCCTTGACTCTTTCTTGATATGTGCTATATCCAACCTCTGTGGTTCCTTGTTCCCTTTCTAGTGCACCCATCCAAGTGAGGAGGTGAAGGAGAGGATGGCTCAGATTCTCCAGATGGAGATCCCCAACTTTGGTAACAGCATCCTGGAGTGCCTGAATGAGCAGCGGTTGCAAGGCCTATACTGTGATGTCTCTGTCGTGGTGAAAGGCCATGCTTTCAAGGCACACCGGGCTGTGCTGGCTGCCAGCAGCTGCTACTTCCGGGACCTTTTCAACAACAGCAAGAGCACAGTAGTGGAGCTCCCGGGTGCTGTGCAGCCCCAGTCCTTCCAGCAGATCCTCAGCTTCTGCTACACTGGTCGTCTCAGCATGAATGTGGGCGACCAGTTCCTGCTCATGTACACAGCAGGATTCCTGCAGATCCAGGAGATCATGGAGAAGGGGACTGAGTTCTTCCTGAAGGTCAGCTCGCCCAGTTGTGACTCCCAGGGCTTGCACACAGAGGAGACACCATCCTCGGAGCCACAAAGCCCTGTGGCACAGACATCCACCTGGCCCTCCGGCAATACTCCCCTGCCCCTGGTCTCCCGCGTAAAGACAGAGCAGCAGGACTCGGACTCTGTCCAGTGCACATTTGTGGTTAAGAGGCTCTGGGAAAGCAGCCAGAAAGAAGGGGGAGGTGGCGGCGGCGGTGGTAGTAACGGCAGCCGCAAAATGGCCAAGATCTCCTCCCAGCAGGATTTGAGTGGCAACCGACAGGCCCAGCAGCAGCAGCAGCAACAACAACAACAGGTCCAACAACAGCAGCAACAGGCCCAGCAGCAGCAGCAGGTACAACAGCAACAGGTACAGCAGCAGGGGGCCCTAACAGGAGGAGGTGGAGGGGCAGGCGTGGTCAGTGGCCCCAGCACTTCAGACCAGACCAGCCCAGGCACCTCCAGTGCCTATACCAGTGACAGCCCCAGTTCTTATCACAACGAGGAGGATGAAGAGGAGGATCCTCCCGAGGAGGGCTCCGACGAGCAGTACCGACAGATCTGCAATATGTACACTATGTACAGCATGATGAATGTAGGACAAACAGGTGAGTGGCAAATGTGAGTTGCCAGTGAGTGGTATTCCTGCTTTCCTTAAAAGGAAGGAAATATGGAAACTGTTTCATCTATGTGTTTGTGTATTTACTGGTAGTTGGTTAGCTTTTTAAAATCTCCATCTGGTTGGAGCTGAGGTGTGAGAGAGGGCTTGAAAGCTTGGGAACGAGTACAGTAAGCTTTTATCGAGGTCATGGCACAGGAAAGTAGAAACCAGGTCGTTATTAGCCGAGGAAACTCCGCTCTAGGAATTTATTTAAGTCATCCAGTGCAACTCTATAGTCAGCTTCTGCAAGACGTTGACCATACCATCAAGATGGAGGACCTAGAAATGCTTAGAGAAGTGTTCTTTCTAGAAGTCTCTAGGTTCTCCAATGTGATCTGCTGAAAGTTGACCATTGAGTCACACTGGAGGGCCAAGAAGGATCACTGTATTGGAATTAGATCTGCTCAGCTTGTCATTGTGATCTTGTGAAATTTTATGGTAGAGACATGTGCATGGTGAATACTAGTCATGTCCATTTGTACCATGTCACATACCAAGTAAATGTACGTCCTTGTTCCCACATGCCTTTGTACAAAAATGTACTGCAGAGAGCTTCCCTTAGCTTTGGGTTCTGCTTTGTTTACATTAGTGTTCACACAGTGTAAAAATTGAGGCATATATAACACTGGTGCATACTTTGTAGCTGAAGTGGATATATGTGAAAGGTCAACATTTAGCAACGCCTTCTGTAATATGACTTTAAAATGCCTGAAAAGTGAGCTTACTATCAGTATTAAGTCAGACAAACTTGCCATGCTGGCTAAAAAATTCTGGGAGTTTTAGTTCCAAAAGGTACTGTAAATCTTTCACGTACTTGTTTAATATTGAATGGGAAAAATACCTGGCAACCATTTAGTTCTACATTCTAATAACCTCAGAGTCAGACCTTGGTCATCTACTAAACTAAATGGTTCTTTCTAGACCCAACTACAAAGGTTTGATTTAGAGAAGAGAGAAAATGTCTATGAAACATAATAGCATGACTGTGAGTGAACAAAGTGGGTTTGCTGGATGATTTTACTGTTAATTTTTCTCATGTTCCTACAGTAACTGTGACCATTAGTGATTTTTACACCCCTCATACCTTTCTGTTTCTTCTAACCCAAATTCCTGATGATGAAATAATCAGACTTTCTTCTGAAATGTGGTCTGCAAGTGCAGGTTGATTATCTCTTATCTAAAATGCTTGGAACAAGAAGTATTTAAAAAAAATTCAGATTTTAGAATGCCTATATTTGCCTATGTGAGTATAATTAGATATCTAGGAATGGAACCCAGGTCCAAACACAAAATTCATTTATGCCTACCTGTACCTTATACACATAACCTGAGAGTAATGTTATACAACCTTTTAAATAATTTTGTGTATGACATAAAGTTTGTGTACATTGAGTCATCAGACAGCAAAACTACCACTATCTCAGCCAGCCAGGTGGACAATTTCACATTTTGGAGTATTTTGGAATTCCAGATGTGGGATGCTGTACCTGTACCTGTTTTCAGAAATGCAATAGTAGCAAGATGGTTACCTGCATAGAGACCTAAGGGTTGGAAGAATTTTTCGTGTTGGACCACACTTTCTAGAATTCTCCATCCAGCAAGGACAGCAACCGTGCTAAGTGCGGGGTTCCAGGAGCGGTGGTCCAAAAACGTGACCCTCCCAAACTCTTTCAGGACTGTCATTTATGCATTGGTGACTTTCCAGACAGCTGTTTTTTACATGGGACTACTGCTGAAGAGAGTAAATACATTTTGGAGATCCTTCTGCACATGCATATTTAATATCCTGCTTGCTATCCATTAGGAGGCACTTTTGAAAACATTTCTAAAGAACCTTTCATTCCTGAGTTGTTGCAGAGTCAGTTCTGCCTCTATGTAATCATTGTTTTGTTTTCATTAGTTTTAGATGGTTCTGTGTTGTGTTCCACGTCGAAGCCTTCTGGGAAACAGTATACAGGTATAGGTTTTTAAAAACAAAATACACTATGGCCTATGGCATCTCAGGTCTCACTTCAGCCACCATCATGGTATAGGGTCATGAGAAAGGTGTGGTTTCTGACATCATGTAACCTTCCCCCAGTCTTTAATGTTATTCTATGAGATTGTCTTAAAGATAACCAAGTGTTTGTGAGGCCTCTTGAAAAATACCACCAAAAATGTGAGATGGGTTAACCTCCCACCCAACCCTAGTCAGTATATGCACACAGCTTCCAACCATGTAGTATGGGTGAAAGCCTTTTATGTGATCTTACGTAATTCATGAATTACCTTTATATCAATGTATTGTTGAAGGCTTTCATGGCCGGAATCACTGGGTTGTTATAGGTTTTTCGGGCTATATGGCCATGTTCTAGAAGCATTCTCTCCTGACCTCACAACCTCTGAGGATGCCTGCCATAGAGGCAGGCGAAACGTCAGGAGAGAATGCTTCTAGAACATGGCCATACAGCCCAAAAAACCTACAACAACCTACATTTATATCCATTCTGCCTACTAAAAAGGCATTTGAGATTGCTAATAATAGCAATATTTAAATAGAAGTAAATATATTTCAACCATGAAAACCGTATCTTAAAAATATAGTGAGAAACAGGAACATAATGAAACAGAAGCCCTCTTCAACTGTAGCATGACTTAAATGTCACAGAAATGTGTCTGAATAGAGAAAATCATTAATTGTCAAAAACACAACAGAGAAAGGACTAGCGTACCCTCCTTGTCAGGGATTTCCAGAACCTGGAAGCAGCCACCAAGAAAGCTCTTTCCTCTGTCTGTTATACTTTCTTTTGAGATTGGCAGAACAGAGAAAGATCCTGCCTGAATATTTTAACACTCAGGCAAGGCCTGGTCCCAAGTTGTATAGGGCTTGACAGGTCATGACCATCACCTTGAATTCCACTCAGATGCAAATGGTAAGCCAGTGAAGGGAGTCACATAGTTGGCCTTGTTAACAGTTACGCCACAGCATTACGAATTTTCCAAACACTTTTCAAAGCCAGGCCAAGCTAGAACATGTTTCAGTAGCCCAAATGGGATGCAACAAAACAACACGTCAGATGTTTTCAGGTATTGGCATAGTTAGCGTATTTGCCTTAAGGGTACAAACACACTCCTGTCCACTGCTGAATCCTGGGCCTCCATGTTCAGCCAAACTACAAAAAAAAAAAAATGACTTTCAGGAATACAGCTCTCTTCAACAAAGGCCAAATCCTTATGCCCAGAGCTGCTTTTCAGCAGAAACCTCTCTGTCTTCTGTTGATGAAGCTCTAGTTCATCTTCCCTCATCAAATCCAGTCCAAGATCAGACACTGATAACCAGAATGTTTTCAATGGACTTTGTTGGAAAGGGGAGGTACCCAATTGTGTATCATCAGCACATTGGGTGCGGCAAACCACACAACACAAAAAATATTTCTCATGGCAGCAGACAGGACTCTTTGTTCAGCATACCACCCTTTGACCTTGCCAAGAATTGGAGGCATCAATAAAACAGTATATCAGCCTCCATCTCCCATCTGAGACAAGTGATTCAGAACAGTATCATGATTGATGATACTGAAACTGGCTGAGATGTCCAACAGATCTAACTGGGAGGTATCCCTTCTGACCAGATCCCAGTGTAGATTGTCCATTTGGCCAATCAAAGCAGTATGAAGCCAGATTGAAACTGATCCTAGATCAGTGCTTCTCAAAATGATGATCCATAAGCCAGTTCCCGAGCATGATCTATTATCCCTGGTAAGCTTCCAGAAACAAACAAACAAACATTTTTAGTCAATAGGCACAAATACCTCATCACTGACTTAGATTCAGTGGCAAGAAAAATGACAAGGATTCCTCACTCTTCTGTTGAAAAAAAAACTCCAGTGGGTATACAGGCAGTCCCCAAGTTGAACAAGATAGGTTCTTTAGGTTTGTTCTTAGGTTGAATTTTTGTAAGTTGTATTTAACTTTGGATAGCATAGGGAAAGGTAGACACCTGTGGTGTTTGTTTTGCTATCTGTGCCCCGTTCAGAAGATTTCACCTCACTTTCTTTCCCTGTGATAACTGGATTTTGAAAAATGTGGAAACAAGGATTGGTGAGAAAGCTTCTGTGGAGACACCTTTTCCCCATAATAACTCTTGCAGGAGTGAATTTCCCTTCCTAGGGGTAGATTCCTCTCACTTCCTGTTGTCTCACCCTGTTAACTGTGAGTCATTTGTAAGTTGTATGTTTGTAACTCAGGAACTGCCTGTATTGTTTAATGGCTTTCTGTTCTTGGCTGAGGGGTGGCTCTTGGGGTCCTGCTTCAAAAAGGGACATGGTAACAAATCCATAAATAAAGGCAAAGGTGTGTGAATGTGTATGTATCATATAAGAAATTTTCTCAAAAATTATTATAGGGTGTGTGGTTGCAGACTTCTAAGCTTTTAAAGAAGGAAAGAATGTCTTCTTATTTGGATGCCACAATTTTCATTTCTATTCCATGCTTCCTTTTCTCCCATTTTCTTTGTATTTTTGTAAACCTTTTCCTCTTCTGACTTCTTTGTCCAGCAGAGAAAGTGGAAGCTCTGCCAGACCAGGTGCAATCTGAGTCTCGCAACCGGATACGGGTGCGGCAGGACCTGGCATCGCTGCCCGCTGAGCTAATCAACCAGATTGGGAATCGATGCCATCCCAAATTGTACGACGAAGGTGATCCAGCTGAGAAACTGGAACTTGTGATAGGTGAGAAAAGTGCCTCAGCCAATCATGGTCAAGTGTTTTATGGAGGCATATAGTTTGGAACTAGTTGCAATGGTCAAGTGTTGTATGGAGGCATATAGTTTTGAGTTAGTTGCAACCAGCAACAGCCTAATTACTTCCCAGTGGAGAATCACCCCACTTGGATGAACTGGAGTTTTTTGCTCTTGTTATTCAGGGAATACATGTGTGTTTGAGCTCAGGCACCAAAACTAGGAAGTCCCTATTGTTAGTTACACCATACTGGAATTTAGGGAGTCTGCTTGTTCTGTGCCAGCTTTTCTTAAAGATCCCTCAAATTTAGGATTCTCATGCCATCCATCCCCACAAAATGGTAAATCTGGTCACATCCTTGCACCACCCCTAAAAATAAGCAATAGAGAGCGAACTGAGCACAAGGAATCACAAGCTTAAAGCATGCACTTGTCATCTTGCTTAGCTTCAGAGCCTGATTAGCCCTTGGGGCAGCCCTATCCCGGCAGTTCAGCTACCAGCCCTTGCAGCTTTGCTCCACTGTATTTTCTGCCATCATGGATCAGTTGAAATATGCAGAATGGGGTTTGATTGTGCCTTCTGCTTTAGGCAGAGAGCAAGCTCTGTGACGAAATTATGCTTGAAATGAATGTCTTCAATTAAAGGAGAGGAACTCATTCTTTCAGTTTGAATGTTGCTGGCAGATAAGCCAGAGGTAGAAGTGTCAAAGGAAATCCATTTCTAAATATTTCTTGATAGTAAATCTACATTTTGGCTTTTCTTTGCCCTACCCCAATAGAGATTTCAAGATTGTTATACTTATAACAGGTTGTTCCTCAGTCCTGAGGTGGGAAATGTGCTAGAAAGAGCTAACCTAATAGTAGCTAGCATATGCTTTTTTGAGATATTTGGTTGCAGTCCAAACTCCTGTATTTCATCGCATAATAGTCACATCCCCATTTTTGAGGTGGCAAAATTGTTTTTCTGTGTTCCTCACACAATAATTGCGCCCTACACCCTTACCCCTTGGAGCTATGGGCTTCCCTCAGCTGCCCCAAGAAGCCTCCCTCAGTACTCAAATGAAGCTCTGTAGCTGCAAAAAATTTCACTGTATAATAGTTACACTCCTCCCAAAAAGGTGAGAGAGTGGGTGAAATATGGTATTTCCTCTGTATGCTTAGGTTGCTCAAGAGCCATCTTCCACCAACCCAGTAGACTTCAATCCCTACTTGCAGACTTGTTTTTGCTTTCTAATCCTTGAAATGCCAAAATTGCCATCTAGAAGCATGTGCCCAAAAGATCTGTACAATAGTCGTTACATATATGCAGCCCCACCAAGGTCACTTCTACAACCAAATTACCAAGAAAGGGTCAGGCTTACAAGAGGAATCCATTAATGTCTGGTAACTGACCTCATGTTTAGCATCACTTTCCATGTGATGTTGGAAGCTGAGAAGGACTGGATGGATCACATAACTACAAGAGGTTTTAGCACTTCCACAAAGCATTTAGGAAAGGTGATACTTTGTTAGATGGCTTACTGGTCACAAGTGAATGTGGAAGCTTCATGTTTTGATGATAGGCTTTGCCCCTCTCCTCTCTTTTCTGCCTAGGTACCAATGTGTACATTACTCGGGCACAGCTGATGAATTGTCATGTCAGTGCTGGGACAAGGCACAAAGTGCTACTCAGACGGCTATTAGCATCCTTCTTTGACCGGTGAGTTTTCCAGGGATGTATTGGGAGAAGTGTCCTGTATCTGTCTGCTTCCCTGGCCCCTTGTTCTGTTTTGTTGTACTGTTTCTTGTTTGTTGGTTTCTTTTTTGAACTGATACATATCTTCAATTTTAAAGGCAGAGCTTCTAAAGAGCTCTGCTACAGCCAGGGTCAGGACAGGAACTGAGTTTTCAACTTAGTTCAGATGGAGATGGACCAAGCTCTTAAATGGGGTAGGGGTGGAGATCACCAGTCTGTTAAGATTTTGATTTCTTTCTCTTTAATTGTTTGCTAGGAACACCCTCGCTAACAGTTGCGGCACTGGAATCCGCTCCTCCACCAATGACCCTAGCCGGAAACCTCTTGACAGTCGGGTGCTGCATGCTGTGAAGTGTGAGTGTGTGCTGAAAAGATGCTTGGGTGGAGCTGGAGGGCAAACGGTTATGTAAAGATTTTAAAATGGGTCCTTTCTCCCAGTGGATGCTGTAGCTGTAGACTTCGCTAAGTGTCCATTATGCTAGGTATTTTAGAAGACCCCAGGCAGGGATTCTAGAGGAGAAAAGAGGAGAAAAGAGGTGTGGGGTTGTCCTCCATTGGTGTTGCACTGGCTCAAGTCACAGCTTTGCATCCTTTTCCTGTCTCAGTTTATTGCCAGAACTTTGCTCCAAACTTCAAGGAAAGCGAGATGAACGCTATTGCTGCTGACATGTGCACAAACGCGCGGCGCGTCGTCCGTAAGAGCTGGATCCCCAAACTGAAACTACTGATGGCGGAGGGCGATACTTATACGACCTTCATCAATGACACTGGCAAAATGGAGCCAGACATCATGGGAGTGGAGCACAGCTTTGAGACGGGCAGCCACGATGGCGACGCAGGCACCTCTGCAGAGGGCCTCCAGTAAAACATGCCCACTTTCTTTGTTTTTCTTTCTTTTTTTTTTCCAATCAATGGTTTTTATTTCCTAATTTGATTTTTGTAGGATTGTTTTCCACCTTTTTCATTTCATTTCCTTTTTTTCTGTTGTTGGTTTGTTTTTGTTTTGACAAAGGGGAAAGAAAGTGTTTGTGCGGCCTCCTTTCAAAAGCAAATGTGCTTACGTGGGCTTTGCTTCCTTCAGCACCACAGGGAGTCGGAGCTCAGAGGGGAGGCCTTGCTGATGCATTGGCAGTTCTGGCTGGCATTCTCACCCTCCCCTCCCCAATCCCCACTTCCTTCTCTTCTCATGCTATACATTGTTTTTAGAAATATATTTTAGTAGATTTTTTAAAAAGCAAACAAATCCATTTGCAAAAAAGAAAAAAAGAAAAAGAAAAAAAGGCCACGATCCAGGGAAGTATGGTTCCAGAATGCTGCCTCTTCCTTCGTCTAACCTAGTTCTCTCCAGACAGGGCTCTCACTTGGTTTGATCACCAAGTCTTTCCTCAGGTCTGTATTAGAGTGGAAAAATCCTAGTGCCATGAGAAACTCAGAACAGGGAAGGGATTGAACCCCAGTGCTGCTGCCACGTCCTCTCCTTCCTTCTTCAGCTCCTCTTCTCTCTCCTCTTGCTTAGCGATGCTCAGGTCTTGCAGTCCTGCTCCTGCTGCCACTGTCAGTATCTTTCTACACATGGACACACAACTGTGCTTTGCATGCCTCCTGGACCTATGTACCTTCCCCATTCTCAGAGCATGAAAGTAATAGAAAGTCACCTGTAAATTATTATGATTGTTGTTGTTGTTGCAATAACTAAGGCATACTAATCATTACGATTGTTGAGGGATAACTCCACTTCTTTTGCAGTGTGACTGTAACAGTGCTTGAATTACTTTTATAGTCATGGAGTGCGTGGTCTCCCTATTTAGGCATGGTTTATCACAAGCCAGCAATTGTGTAGCATTTTGCTGCTTTTATTAAAAATGACTAAAAGAAACCTTTAAAATGAGAAAAGGAAGTTCCTGTTCAAAATCTAAAAATGGTCATAATAGCTATTTCCTTTTTTTAATTGCTTTTGGGTTGTTTAGTAAAATAATGTTGTGAGTGCCAGCCCTTTATTTGCCTTGCAGGTTCGGACTGCCTGATGTGTAAACGTGATAATTTGTAGGCCAAAGCAGTGTGACAGGGTGACCATTTAGTATTTTGAATGGCACAGTCCTTGAAGGGATCAAGATGGATCCCTCCCTAAATATCGTGGGAGAGGAGCTGCAAGACGACACTCCTCTTTGAACACTGCTATGGGGCTTCCAGATTCTTATAGGGCTAGCTTTTTCACAGGGTCAAGTTTACAAACAGTTCAATTTTCAGCCAGCCCATAGTCTTGTAGCATATATGTAGCATATATGCCCAAAGTCTTACAGTTATGGAGGCTGGCACTGAAAGGCAACTTGATCTGCCTCCTTGTGCTTTTTCAGCATGACTGCTAAATAGTGGTCCTCTGTCCAGACTACACTTTTAGACACTGTTGGAGCAAATGGCAGTTCTTTCTGCTGCTTCACAAAAATTGGGAATCGGTTCTAAAGGAAAGGGCAAAGCCCAGGGAGAAAGCCCGCCTTCCTTAATCCTGACAGCACCACAACCTCCTCCATGTGTGGGGAAGTTGAAGGACAGTTGAAGTTTGGGGGAAGCTTGGAGACAAAAAGAGAGTGTATTCTCTCAAGAGATTTAAAAGCTCTTGACAGAGCTCTCATCTCCACCAGCAGCTAATGAACTGCAATGTGAAACCACACTCTTTGCCTTTCTCCATGTCCCTGTATATTTCTGCTTCCACAGGGCTTCTGAGTGGCATTTTAACTAAGGTAAGGGCTTGAGTGAAAAATCCTGTTTTGGTCTTAAGGCTGAAAGAATGTGAAGCCTGGAAGGAGTATCTAGGTTCCAGTCATTCTTACTGGAAATCAAAACCCCTGTCTGTCTGTCTCCACCACCAGTGCAGATATCTGGAAAGATTTGCTCCACATTTATGCTCATTTTTGCCTTGAAGCATCATTATCCTCCCTTTGAATAAACCAAACTGTCCTCTCAGATCTTGAACAAAGCCTTTAACAGAGGAAAATAAAATATTTGTTTATAGATGGACACTTTGAATTTCAGTCAGAATAAATCCCGAAGCACCAGTGTGCTATATTCCTGGCAACAAAAAGGGTAGCAAATACTGTGGTACCATAGAGACCAGCTGGCTTATCATTTCAAGTCAGGATGTTAATCACTATTGCAGGTGTCTTCCATCAAGTCCTCTGTAAATCGAGGAAAACCTCACCTCACTCAGAGGTGATTTTGCTAGTTTCTCCTTCTAAAATCAAGTCTCCTCCACACACAGTCTCTTCCACACACACATATTCATGGCGGAGAAAAGAGAGTTGGCAATTTCTACTTGGATTCTTCTCATTTGTTTGAAAAGGAAAATAATTGTCAAGAAGCCTCCTTATCTCCTGTGAAATAATTATTTTATAATCATTTATAAGCTACTGTTGTGGATTTGATCTAAACTGAGCGTATTCAGTTAGAATAAGTTAATTTTGTTGAGGAGGAGATATCAGTGCCAGAAGTGGCGTATATCTGTACCCTTGATGCAAATGGAATCAAGATCAGCCCAATTTCAAGAGGGGTTTCTGTTTCGGAAATTAAAAAGTATAAATTATTTCTGTTAAGTGCTGGCTGCTGCTAGTTCATGTTTATCAGGGGAAGATATCTTTCATTTGTTGTTAATAAATACTTTTATTAATTCATGGTTTTTAATGACATACAATGAATCCTTTCTGTGGATGTACTGGTACTCATGTTCAGTTTTGTAGCAAAAACAACCAAGAGGTTTGGGGAATATAAACACTTAATAGTTTTATGTGGCATAAGCATTTGTGGACTTGAGCTTACTTTCTCAAGATACACAAAAACTCCCATAGTGCATCTTATTACAGCTATACAGGGAAAGTAAAATGAAGTCCTGTCATCCAGTAAGAATTCTGACCCAAATGATTTTTTCTTTTAATCCCCAGATTTCTAGCATTGTAGGGAATGAGATATTAAACATAATTCATATGCCATTTGCCGTGTTTGCATCCCTTTGATAATATTACTTGCTTTTATTTGGATGCCTCTGCTGTGTTTTTACATGTTTACTGTTTGAAGTTACTGCCATGCTAGAAGTTTAGGACTAAAAGAAAATTTCAGTCGAATATTCCTTTTGGCGGGGAGTTCAGTGCCCTACTTCTGTTAGGATGGATGTCATCACAAGCTACAGCTATCCAAATTGTCTTATCTACTCAAAAGTTGCAAGAGTTCTGTCTTCTTTTGCAAATAGCCACCCACATTAGTCTTCCTGAGCTATGGATAAAAATCTCCACCACTAAAAGGCCACACTAAACTACTTGTCCAGGAATAAACCCCATTAATATGTGTTCACATGCTAATCATGACATTTTCTTTGGCTGTCACTGGGGGGAGACAGAGACAGATACATGTCCTATGTTTGAAGAGATATAAATAAGGACACAGTTTGCAGAGGGCTCAGGTGGCAGGAGACTAGTGTAGTTGGTTCACAGGAATTCACTTTCTGTGAATTATTTTTACAAATCAGTTCAGTCATCATTTGACTTTGTGTCTATCTGTGCCTTCATGTCACCCATGACTTATGGCAATGAATTTCAGAGGCAAGAAATACTCAGAGGTGGTTTTGCTAGTTTCTTCTTCTGAAATACTCTACAGCACCAGATATTTTCTAATGGTATCTCATTCAAGTACTAATCAGGATTAATCTTCTTAGCTTCCAAGATCAGGCAGAATCTGGTGCCTTTAGGATATAGAGAGGGCTTCTGACTTTACTCTAGGCCAGTAGTTCTTGACCTGTGAGTCTCCAGATGTTTTGGCCTGCAACTCCCCAAAATCCTAACGGCTGGTAAACTGGCTGGGATTTCTGGGAGTTGTGAGTCAAAACACCTGGGGACTCAGAGGTAGAGAACCACTGGTCTAAGCAAATGTATATTACAAACTTGAGCCAGCATTACATTGGCTTTATTGCTGTGGCTTCTCCAGGGAATTTTATATCTGTTAATTTCTTCTTCCAAAAATGACTGTTTTGGTGGCTCTGTTGATGAAAATCTGTGATTCAGAGTAACCATGCCTTCTTGTGATTTCATCAGCATTTGCACTGTACTAGGGAGATATGCATCACAGTTTGGCAAGATGTGGAAACTTAAATGTTGACTTCAACACAGCTCCAGACATTATGACGTTTCTGCTTTCTTCCAAATCTTCTCTCCCTTCTTTGACATATTCTTACATTGAGAATAGAATATAGTTATTTTTCCATTCAGTCAGAATTATTTACTATATATATATACAGTCACTTTCATAATTAAATCATTTCACTGTCCCCTTAATTTGCGTTTTTCCTTCAAGAATATAAAAAATAGAAAAATAAACTTTGTTTTTTAAAAGCAGACATTTACTAGAAAATAAACTTGAATAGATATATTTCATTATTTACTGATGCTGAATATTCTTCAGTCATAGAGATACTGTATGGCTTTAAAGAGGAACTGATATCAAAACACTGTGTTGTCTGTCCATTGGCCTGTCTCTCTACTCATTTTCCTCCCCAATTTCTGAAATAGTTTTAGGACAGCTGGTTCAGGTAATAATTAATGTGAGACCTGAAGAACCATTTACAGTTGCAATACAAGGGAGATGTGTGCATAACCAGCAATGAGATGTGCTTTATCATGGTAGGGACTGGTCTGGATGTTCATGGCACTGCCTTGCTCATCTGGGATAGGTTGACTGCTCTAATGCAAGTGGAGATGTGGGTTTGTAGCTGTTAAGAAACAGCAAGCTGCCCCAGTCCCACTGATTCCCTTAATGTTGTGCCCATGACTTGTTATTTCATAAATATAAGCCTGCTATAATGCAATATCTGATCTGAAAGCATGAGAAGTAGTAGCTGTGGCTGTTACTATTGCCATGAATTTAATTCTAGTGAGCCCTTTCTAGTGGTATTTTGCTCTTTAGGGAAAAAATATGACACTCCAGCCTTTTGTCTGTGACAGAGGTTTGAACCTTCCCACAATGCTTTGGGCTTCGACTCTTGGAAAGCCTAGCCATGGCCAGTGACAAGTACATATAGAAGTTGTCATCCTACCTTGCTTCATTGGTGCCAGGCCAGCCACTGCCTGGAAAATTCAGCATGATTTCCCTGCCACCCCCATACTCCAGCTGACTGACTGAATGAGACCGAGCCCTTTAAAAATTCATCTCCTGGGTGCTGTTTTTGTCTGGTTTTTTTCGCACATCTCTAATCTTCCCCAGATAGATTCTGCAACACTTGTAGTTGCAAATGTGAAAGAATTAGAGTTAGGATTGTTGTAACCTGTCCTTTTTTGCATGCAAGTGTATGTGAGCACACAGTTCCACCAGTTTTGCCTCCAAACTTGTGCTGGAAGAAACACTTTTTAAAGATTCACAGTGGTAAACAAAGAAGTGTGGAATTGGAGTGTCTTCTTATAAATGCAGGACAACCAACCCCAACCTCTTGTCTGAGCAAAAGTCATTGGAACAACAGCAAGTGTCCTTTTAGACCTGCAGCTGTGGAAAGATTGCTGGGTCACATATTAGGCTTTTTCATACTATTCCTTATCCCCCCCCCCCCCCAAAAAAATCTTAACGAATTGCCCATTTCTTTTTTTTAGCCTTCCAGCCACACTCCTTTCTTTCTGACAGCTATGCGCTATGTTATATTTTAAGGGGCATGCCAAAAAATGTAACATGTGCCTCAATCAAATATTCTTTTTTCCCCATGTGTACAACGGAGATACATATGCCAGTGAGCCAGGAGTGATTATGGCAGCTTGCCACATGTAGTTGCAGTGGAAAACCCACACTTGCGAAACTACTAGCTCTTTGTTTTAACTTTGTTAACTTTATTGTGACTTTGATTGCCTCCTTTCTTTCTTTCTTCCCTCCTCCTTTGCTATAAAAGTGGGAGTACAGTTATGTTGAAGTAAATACCTTTCCTTGTTGCAAGTAGCAAAACTGAGATGCAGTTTGGGAAGGATACTTGAATGCATTGAAGAAACTTGAAGGAAATTGACTTTTTGTTCATTTATTGCTGCTTTATTTCATCATTGCCTATTTGCTTTCATGTTTCTTGCAATTTACTGCACGTGGTGGCATCTTATAGCATCTTGATACTGCAAGCACAGGAGTTAATGGCTTTTCTTTTCCTACCTTCCAACACTACCAAGAGATTCGATTTATATATGGATTTCTAGTCTGTGCACTACTAGACAGTATAATCTTCAAGTTGTGCATGCATGCCGTAACTATGCCTGAAGGAAAATGCAGAGTTTATTGTTGCAGCACATCCTTTGCATGCAAAATATCCCAAGTTCAGCCCCCATCATCTCCAGACAGGACTAGAAAGACAATATAGATAATAGTTAACTAGATGGACCAGTGGTCTGACTTTATATATAGAGCCACTTCCTATGTTACTCTAGTCTTTGATGAACTCTGGTGGTTCATCCGAGATTTTTGGTTTGTCTTCTTGTAATGGAAGTACCTGGATCAGGAAAAGGAAGCCCCAGTGGGTCCCTTGTTTAAATGAAAGATGTGTCAGCCTCTTTTGTCCACTTTTTGAATCCAGTTAGCTTTTCAGACACCATCATTACTCTATCACCTACAAGATGTATACTTCTAGACTGTTTTGGTTGTTCGTAAAAGCCACTTTTGGGTTCATGAGGATTTTTTTTTAAGGAACAGAGGTAGATGTATGTGAAAAGCTGGGGATGTTTCTCTAACAGCGTGTCAGTTTTGGCGTTCTGTTACCTTAAGGTGAACACTGGCTTATCTTAAGCAAATGGAGAAAACAGGAAGCAGGGGAATTATACAAAAACAGTGACCTACCTAGGACAAGAACCTGTAGGGATTCTCGAAGTGCTTGTCTTATTGATACAAGAAGGAAAAGGAAAGATGCTGGATTAAGTGGGAGAAAATATGCCATCTCGTATTTATATATCATAGAGGCATTACGTATTTTAGAGCCTTTGGTTTAGTGCCAAGAGGGTCAGTATTTATATCAACACTAGAGCATAACATAGCATTTCCTCTTGCATTGTTTATGTGGCTGTATTTGCTGGCATGATTGCCTTAAGGACTTCCCTTTCTGCATTCACCAGCCACCCAAAAGGACAGAGTCATACATTGGTTGGTTTTCCCACCAAAAGGCTTGGCTGTGCTAGAGCTGGTCAAAGGCATCCATTAGCCTTGAAACTGAAAGAATCCTGCCTTGTTAAGTGGTACAAGCTGCCATCGTTTCTAAGGCAAGACTCCCAAAGTTAAATTTCAAAAACAAATTCACATACGCAAAGGAGCCCCTGAAGAAGGGCCTGCATTACTTACTTTGGGACTGTGCTCTTACATGCTGCTTGGCATATAACCATCCTAAAAGACCCATATTGATGGAACTGATCTTATGTCTTGTCTTGCAAATGGTGGCAGGGGTTTTAAGTCTTTAGGGAAATCCAGTATCAGTTTGGAGAACCTCTTTATCCTTTAGGGTTGCTGTGGATAAATGGGATGCCCCAGTTCCACTCCCAGATTAGAAGATCTCACTGCGGCTCACCTGGACTAAGACTCATATGGTCTTAGTTGAAGTTCCTTCCAACTAAACAAGGAATACTACTTAGTGGCATATTTGCATCTTGGATGTGGCTTTCTTCCAGGGATCAAAATTATCTCAAGATTTGAGGAGGAAACCAAGGCCTTTTGTCTTATCTCTTTTGTTCTGTCCACTTTTTGGTCATCTTTTGTTTTTCTTCTCTTTCATTCTTTCATAAAACTAGAGCAAAGATTTTTTTAAAAGACAAAAATGTACACTGAAAAGCACTAATGAAGCCTGATTATGTAACCTCTGTGCAGATGCAGCATGGACTATTTCCCCCCTTCCAGGCGCTTTGGGTTGACTGACGCAAGCAGCTACTCCAGTATCAGCCCCCTCCCTCCCTCCCCCCCCCACCCCTCGTAAGATCCTTCCAGAGAAGAAAACCAGTCCTCTAAAATAAAATAACAAAAGCATCCTCCCTTTTTCCCCTCCCAGCCCCCTCAGCACCCCTCCCTGCTTTTTACCTCAAACCCCCACCCCTCCTTTGGCCCCTGGAAAATGCCAGTATTTGTTCTGTGTTATAAGTGCCAAGAAAAATTTTGTGACTCCCTCATTCCTGTGACCTGAGAGTATCAAGAATTGCACATTAACTACTGTAAAGATTAAAAAAAGGAATTCAGAAATGTTAATAAAAAAAGTTTGTAACAATTGCGTGCCTGGTCTTCCTTTTTAAGATAGATTGAATAATCATATATCATCTTAATTGAAAAAAGAAGAGACAGTGCACTTCAAAGCAGAGCTGTTAACCTTGGAATATTGCAAACTATCCATGTGAAGAAAATGTCACTTCCAAACAATCCGACTCCACTGCCCAGAACTACTATAATACACTAGCATTACAGACATGGAAGGTGAAAAAAGAAAGCGCAAAAGCTGGGTTGTAGCTAAACATAAAAAAAACCCCAAGATTATAGCAACAAGAATGATTGACAACTGGGAAACAGAGGGAGAAAACGTGTAGGCCGTGACAGACTTTGTATTTCTAGGTGCAAAGATTACTGCAGACGCAGACTGCAGTCAGGAAATCAGGAGACGCTTACTTCTTGGGAGGAGAGCAATGTCCAATCTTGATAAAATAGCAAAGAGTAGAGACATCACACTGGCCACGAAAATCTGCACAGTTAAAACAATGGTATTCCCCATAGTCACCTACGAATGTGAGAGCTGGATCATAGGGAAGGCTGAGCAAAGGAAGATAGATGCTTTGGTGCTGGAGGAAAGTTCTGAGAGTGCCTTGGACAAAGAGAAGATCCAACCAGTCCATACTTCAGGAAATAAAGCCCAACTGCTCATTGGAGGGAAGGATAGTAGAGGCCAAAATGAAGTACTTTGGCCATATGAGAAGAAAGGAAAGCTTAGAGAAGACGATGCTGGGGGAAATGGAAGGAAAAAGGAAGAGGGGCCAACCAATGGCAAGTTGGATGGATGGCATCCTTGAAGTGACTGGATTGACCTTGAAGGAGCTGGGGGTGGTGATGGCCGACAGGAAGCTCTGGTCCATGAGGACACGAAGAGTCGGTGGTTCTCAGCCTGTGGGTCCCCAGGTGCTTTGGCCTACAACTCCCAGAAATCCCAGCCAGTTTACCAGCTGTTAGGGTTTCTGGGAGTTGAAGGCCAAAACATCTGGGGGCCCACAGGTTGAGAACCACTGGTTTAGTACAACCCACAAAGTGTTCCTTTGTTGGAAGTGGTTCTAAAATCAGATTACAGGCAATCCCCAAATTCTAAACAGATTACAGGCAATCCCCAAGTTACAAACATCTGACTTACAAATGACTAGGTTAAGAACTGGAGGGGCAGGGGTGAAACAACAGGAAGTGAGAGAAATCTCCCCCCGCCCCCAAAGGAAAGCCACTCCTGAAAGAATTATAATCATGGGGAAAAGGTGTCTCTACTGAATCTTTCCCATCAGTCCCTGTTTCCACAACAAGCCATTTTTTTCAAAACCCAATAATCACCAGGGCAGAAAGGTGAAATCTCAACAAGGACATGGCCAGCAAAACAAACACCACAGGGGTATTGAACCTTCCCTATGCTATCCAAAGCTAAAAGATATATATATTTTGGCTGGGGTTACACTTTAAAAATGTACCTGTTACGAATTAGAAACAAATTCAGTTTAAGAACAAACCTAGAGAACCTGTCTTGATCATAACTTGAGGACTGCCTGTACTTCATGTAGTCACTTGGGAAAGCCCCAGGGATCACAATGGGGATTGCCTTCCAGGGATGCCTATGTTTGGGCTACAAATACAATAAAATATTGGATTGATTACCTGAGAGAGGAGGTGGCATAATTGAAGGTTTGGATTGCTTTGAATTAGGAAGAAAAAAAAAACTCAGAAAAAAATAAAAGAAAGTAAGGTTATTGCATATTATGCCATTAACTTAAGAAATCCATTTCAACAGTAATAATTATATTCAGAGGCATGGCTTATCCATGGGTATTGGTAATTACATGGCAAATGGAACTAAAGGTAGTTTCTTTAGTAATTGATTCTCCAAAATACTACTAAACTGATGTTTAGCCTTAGATGTGTATGAAACCCTGCCCTTAGTTTCTAATGAGAAATAATCTCAGAACACAGGTATGTATTAAATCGATGTTTTTAATTTATAATATGTTTTTGGCATTTTTATAACATGTACAAGAGAAGGTAAACCTGAATTGACTTGTAAATCTCTGGAGGAATGACAGGAGATTGCTATCGCTGAGTCTCAGTTGTTAACATTACCAGCACAAAATGACTACTCCTGCCACTTCCATCTCTGTCTTCCCAACTAGCTCTAAATTGCTATGGGTAACCTTGGTAAGTTTAAGGGCAAGTTCTGAATCCTAGGGATCTGCTGTGGGCTGCACCTCATCAAAAGGAGGCAGGGAAATCAAAGCTAGGAGTTCATTTCTGGTTTTGGAAAAAAATGGAAACATCCCCCCACTCCACTTCCACCTCAAAAGGTGGTCCATAGAAGTAAATTGCCACTATCCAAAGCTTCCACAGTAACAGTTCTATTTGGAGAGAGAGATTGATTGAGAAGGGGGGATCTGCCTGTGATGGGCGATCTAGGAAATGCCATAGGGCTATGTTGCCACCCAAATATAATGCTCATGACACAAAAGCCTACGATAAACTGGAGTGGACTTTGTGGAAGGATTATGAACCTGAGTCAGAGTGGTATAGTATTTTGAGCACTGAACTATGACTCTCCAGACTGGGGTTCGAATCCCACTGAACTATAGAAACCCACTGGATGACCTTGGGCATGTCACACCCTTTCAGCCTTGGGGAGGAACTCCCAGTGGCGCAATGGGTTAAACCCTTGTGCCAGCAGGACTATTGACCGAAAGGTTGGCAGTTTGAATCCGGGGAGCAGGGTGAGCTCCTGTCTGTCAGCACCAGCTTCTCATGAGGGGACATGAGAGAAGCCTCCCACAGGATGATAAAACATCTGGGCATTCCCTGGGCAACGCCCTTGCAGACAGCCAATTCTCTCACACCAGAAGTGACTTGTGGTTTCTCAAGTTTCTCCTGACACACACATACACACACACACAAAGCCTTGGGGAGATGAAACACAATCTCCCACCAAATCTTGCATAAAGCAACCCTATGATGTTGCTTTAGGTTTACCATAAATCAGAGGCACACAACAAATTTGAACTTTGTTCAGCTCTCATATCTAAAGAAAATACCAGACTTGAAAACATTTATAAATACATACCTTTTTCTACCAGGTTCCAGTTGGTGGATTTCAGATTTCTAATTTAAAAAATAATAAATCCTGCAAGTCTTAAATCCCACCACCCAAAACAAAAATGCAGAATGATTTCTGAATACACGTGACAGTTCATCTGTCACAAAGACATCTTCATTCTCTATGTAGGATATGATTAGCTTCTTTTATCAAAATGCTGGCAGAAATTTAGACTTCAGAAGGGATTGCATTAACCAACTGACCAATGAGTCTGCCTGGAGTACCTAGCAGGGCATCCTGAAAGACGACATCGAGTCCTAGGTTTGGATGATGGGAGTTCTTACAAATTGTGTCTAGTTCTGGAGAGAAGTTGGCATTTGAATAAGAGAACACAATGAAATTTTGGTACTTGATCAGTGGGCAACAGCTTTGACTATCAGCTGGATCCCAGTTCTCAACCCTGAGTAACTTTGCAATTTAAGAAGTAAGGCAGACCTTTGCCCCACCCGTTTCTGGCACAGTTCCCATCTGGCTATGGCTAAGATGAAACACAACCAGCTTGATCTTCAGTGTTTCACCACTGCTTCCATTCACAGGGGTGGTATGAGGAATATGGATCGTTAACAGCAATGGCATTAACCAATCCTAGGCTGTTGAAGATGGGAACGCAAAAGGCAACTTAAACTGACGCTTTTGCTTGCAATAACATCTCCACTTTTCAGAGGCATAGACATAGTCCTCCCTTTTCACATAGCTGTAGCCTTTAGCCATTACTTAATTGTCCCATCAAATGAGTGTTTCATTTCCTTGTCACTCTGTGAGGCTTCAGTTCCAACGTCATGGGGCGCCTTCAAGTATTTCACGTAGGGCTGACAGCCGTTCTCCAGGTCCTTTCCATCATTATAACAGTGCAAAGAAGAGAATCAGTACCACCAAACCAATGACAAACAAGAGGCCAATGATACACCACTTACGACGGTCTGATTGGGGAGGAAGAAGAAAGAAAAAGAGTGTCACATGCAGGAAGTCCAAAATCCACTATACCTCCCATGGGTAGGTAAAGAAGGAAATTCAAAGTATGATTGTTGTGAAAATGGACACCCAAATATACTTGGGTGAAATGCCCTCCACACCTCCCCAAAACCAGGATGCGCTATGATGCTTATGGTTTTATAGTAGGCAGACCAGCAGCATCATTCCCACGACAATTTCAATGGCGGCTGATGGCCATAATGTACAGGTAAGGAAGACAGAGCCTCCAGACACTGCTGGTCTACACTTCCCTTCAGATCTAACCAGCACAGCTATAGCTGCCAATATGCCTCTGACCTGAATTCAAGGTTCCTGTGACAACATGTAAAGCCCTAAATGGTTTGGCATCTCAATATCGCTCCCTATAGGTGCCTGTCTGAATATTTAGCTCTGTTGGGGGTGTCCTCTGTGCACTGTCAGTGAAGGAAATATAAAAGAGCCTTCTCAGTCATGGCAGGCCAGTCATGGAATGCCCCCCCCCCAACTCCTTGAGGGCCTAATTCCACCAACACTCGTTTATGAAGTGAAAAAGTGTTTGTCCAGACGGCCTTTGGGTCTCATCAATGATCTCCCTGGTATCTGTAAAATCAATTGAAAGAAGTCTGTGGAGGAAGGAACTTGGCTGTACCCAGTAGAAAGGAGATTAGAGTTCAAAATGGGCTCTTCCACAGAACCTGGACACATCCACAGGACTAACATGCTATATCTTACCACCAGGCATGTGGGAGACTCTGGGCATCTTTTTTAACACTTCATCCATGTGGCTGTGGGTTTTGTCCATCTTGTGGGCAAAGTCTTCCAGCATTCTGAAAAAGTCAACAAAGGTATTGTCAGCTCAGGCATGCAGCAGCTAGCTGTAGGGCACTATCCCTCCCATTCAAGAAGTTGTGAACCTGGCTTCCTCTTGTCCATTGGCATCAAAAAAGCACAGAGGTGCCAGCCAGGTATGGCAGCACCATGTCCCGACCCAGTTTTCCCAGTTTTTTGTGGCAAAATTAGGTGCCTTGGCTCATATTCAGGTCAGCTTATACTCGAGTATATACAGTGTGTTTTATTATTAAATTCTCTCATTTGGTTTACATGGATGAAAACAGTCATTTCCATTTAACAATAGAATATCAATGGAATAAAGAAAAACAGCATTACCAGATTACATGTTACAATAGCAAAATACTCTGTGTTCCCATTCTCCACATATCATAAGGAGAGAGGAGGATACCACAGGCAGACTTCCTTGTTGATATATGCAATAAAATTAAACTGTATTTCTTCAGAATTACCCTTTGGCTCTAGTCCTTCAGCTCACTTTAAATTGTGTGTGAATTTCCTCACCATCTCAACTGACCAGACTTTCTTCGACTAAGAACTATTTAGCATCTTCCAGTGCTGGTCTACTTACACAGCCATTCAATTTCCATCTAAATTTAAAGACAAGCAGCTGGAAACTGCCATGGAAACAAAGTGAATGACCTTGGGCAAATCACATTTTCTTAGCCTCAGAGAGAGCCAAGAGTAGGCCCCTTTCTAAGCAAATCTTGCTAAAAACTCCCATGATAGGATGCCTTAGGATTGCCATGAGTTAGAAAGAACTTGAAGCTATACAACCACAACCAGCTGGCAACCAGGATTGAATCAACCTTCAGCACAGACCTGATTTTTTGTACTTTTACTTAATGAAGACTATGGGCATTCTTGCTGTTTTTGCTTCCAAGCAGAGATGTGAGGAAAGGGCTTTTTGATTCCCTTCTTGCCAGTGCGGATACTAAATAGCTAGCCCGGCCATTGTTTTTAAATGCTTGTGTGTTAGTGTTTATTGTTTATGTGATTTATATTAATTGTATTGCATTGATTGTTTTGTTATTGCTTTTGTAATTGATGTACTGTGGGCTTGGCCTCATGTAAGCCGCACCAAGTCCCTTGGGGAGATGGTAGCGGGGTATAAATAAAGTATTATTATTATTATTATTATTATTATTATTATTATTATTATTATAGCAGAGGACAAATTTCTGTGTGCAAGACAAGAAAAATGCACAGGAAAAAGGGATATGCTGACAAGGGACAACATCACTATCCCTATTATATGTTTGTGTTTGTGGACAGGGAGAGAGAGATTCAAAATCAACCTTTGCTTATGTCTTGGTTTATGTGAATATGACAGCAACCAGTGCAAGTCTTCTTGGGCTTTTCAATTGTTGCGTTTTTTTTAAAGGCCTTCTGATTAACACTAACCAACAATTGCCAAATCCATTCCTAGGCAGGCAAAGCTCACTAATCCCAACCTTCCATTCCAGATTGGTGTAACTGGAAAAACCAAGAACCTTGGGCTGCATTACAGCCTCTGAACATTGCAGCTGACCATTGTAAGAGCTGTGTAACAAAACTTGGAGCTTTTAGATTTAAACCTGAGGGAATAAACTGACTGTAACTTCCTCAAAGGAACTTTTCAACCAATGAACAGGACATAAATGGCTCAAACAAGCAAATTGTAAGGATCTAAATGAGGCGACTAGGTTTGTCTGTTCCAGCAAAACAACAACAAAGTTGTGCGGCATTTAGTATGAACATATTTTTGCATCAGGAGCCTTCATGAATTACAGTCCATTGCATCAGATAGCATTTAGAGGTTAAGATGTATGTACGTTGTGTTCATGGTAAGGGAGCAGAATCCAAGTGAAACTGGATGCAGAAAGTAATAAGAGTGATAACTGCATTATTAACACAGGTCATTAACAAAGCCGCTGGTGATAACACAACCATGCTTTTGCCATCAGCATTAACTGTGGAACAGTTTCATTTATCAACCCAGCTAATGTCTTGTTTCCATTGTGCTCACAATGCTAAATGGCTTTATCTGAAGAGTGAGATGGATATGTCTTAAATAAGTAAACAGAATTCTCTTCTTGCTACCACTCCCTGTTGTGATCTGCACTTACATCGTCTGTTCGTCGAGTTCGTCTCCAACTCGCCCTGACATATGCTTCAGCATGCGGATGCTACCAGAAACCAGTTCTAGCTGCTCATCCTGCTCCTCAATAATCAACTATCAGGGAGAGAAAGGAGTCTGTGAGCAGGTAAAATGCCACCAGAGAAGTCCACAGCAAAAAGACACACAGATTTTGCAGCCTGAGATCCCATGCCCACAGAAGTATCCAAAACCGATAAAGTTACTTTGGCCTAAAAAAGGTAAAGGTCCTGTCATGTCCAACTCTGAGGGTTGGTGCTCATCTCCATTTTTAGCCGAAAAGCGGGCGGTGTCCGTAGATGCCTCTAAGGTCATGTGGCTGGCATGACTGCATGGAGCGCCCTTACCTTCCCACTAGTTTAGCAGAAGCTGGGGCTAACTGCAGGAGCTTACCCTGCTCCCCAGATTTGAACCGCCAACCTTTTGATCAGCAAGCTCAACAGCTAAACATTTTAACCCGCTGCGCCACCAGGGGGGCCATTATTTTGGCCTATGAGACATGAAATCCCCATTATACTTCTTCCTGTCTTTTAGCAGTAAATATATAAGAAGAACAAATAGAATAACTAATCAATTTGCTACTCTTGTCTCCCACATGAAAATGTCTGCTTCACCAGAAGACCGGACCAATAAAGCAGGTCTCAAAGCAGGTTACTTGCCTAAGAAACAACCCCACGCTGGATCTAGAGATGTACCTGCACTATACGGTTACTGCTGCGGCTCCATGTTATGAAATTCTGGGATTTGTAATTTGATGAGGCACTGCTAAGAATTCTCTGCAAGAGGGAGTTCAACTGGACTCCCATGAGTAGCAGCATAGAGAGCTCTATCATAGTACCTCACCCACTTGCACATCTCAGGATTCCATATCAGAGAGCAGTGGTTCACAACCTCTGGTCTCCAGGAGTTTGGACTTCAACTCCCAGCTGTTAGGAATTGTGGGAACTGAAGTCCAAAACAACTGGAGGACAAAGGGTTGGGAATCACTGCCATGGAGCTATGGCTGTTAGCATGGTATCAAAATACCATAATTGAGTAGTGTGGATACACTCAAAATCTACTGTTGAACTGTTCACTGGTCTTCAAGAAAGGGCATGTGCAAAATTATATTTATTATTTATTTACTTTATTTTTCCCCACAGACACTCACAATTATATGACACAACTAAAAAACAGCAAATAAAACAAGTGCAAACCATTAAACTACAGATTAGAACTACAGATTAGATTGGCCTGCTGTCAATTATAACACCGTGTTCCTATTCTCACCTTCTGGTGCAACTGCTGCTCCTCCAAAGTGTGTGAACTGGCTGTCAGCAGTTCCTCTGTGTGATAGCCTTCCCTGCTCCCCATTAGTGACTGCAAAAGAAAAACAGGAGGAAAGGAACAAAACTCTGAGCGAACCAGAGATCAAGTGCTCTTCAGACTAAGAGAGCCCTGGCAATCCATGGTGAACTAGACACCAAATGAACAAGCAGCAGCTTTCACAAAAGAGAAACAGGAACTTTTCCCACTGCAACCCAAAATTAAATGACTATGTATTAACATAGGATATCTGAAACACTGGCTCTCAAATGTTTTACCTCTTTATGTAATACATTACTTAGTGGCCTTTTGAGAGCAGTTTTCCTGAAGTGGCTTACAAAATAGAACATACAATTCAGAATGAATATTCCTAGTCACTAAATCATAAATCAGGTTCCTTGGTTTAATTTTTGTATCCAGTTTTCACAGTTTGCTTGGGAAAAACGTTTTGAGAAATGGTCTAGAAATACAAAAGGGAACAAAACCAGAGAAATACTGTAATGCAGTTTTTCCCTTGGGGTGACTCTATTCCTAGGATCCAGAGAAGACAATAGAACAATTGAGGAGTGGAACGAAACCATTCAGCCATGCCCTCGGTGCCTACGGGGAGAAAGAGGTTATCTTTGCCCTTGGTTAGCAGACCTGCTCCTGTTTCTTTGTGTCAAACAAAGTCCCAGGACTGGACAAAATGCAGCTCTTCAAATGGTCTTGACCTATTGGTTCCAACAAACAGCAGCCCAAAGTGAGGGATGATGGGAGCTGCAGATGAGCAACGTCTGAAAGGCCACATGTTTCTTAAAATAGCCAAATTGTAATTTCTCATCTCTCTAACAATTAATTCTAGCAAGGCATGGGGATGAGGTGGGATCGGTAAAATATATTTACCTCTTTGTTTTTCTTCAGAACTGCTTGTGCTGTTGGGCTGGATATATGCTCCTGTATTTCCTAAGGAGAAAGGACAGAAGCAGCAATAATATATGACCATGAAAAAGTGTGAAACCTAAAGACTATAGAAGAGTTTATATGGAAATAAATGATTTTTCACATAAATTGACACCAATGTAGGTGATTCACATTTAGCAATAAAAATCTGATACATTAGACAATCTAGTATCATGACAATCTAGAATCTATACGCAGATGACATCCAACTCTACTACTCTGTCCCACCTGCTGCTAAGGAGGCTGTTCAGGTCCTGAACTGTTGCTTGGCAGCTGTGATGGTCTGGATGAGGGCGAACAATTTGAAATTGAATCCAGACAAGACAGAGGTCCTCCTGGTCAGTCAAAAGGCTGAACAGGGCATAGGGTTACAGCCTGTGCTGGATGGGGTCACACTCCCCTGAAGGCGCAGGTTCACAGCCAGGGAGTGATCACGGACTCATCGCTAAGCCGGGAACCCCAGGTTTCAGTGGTAGCCAGGGGAGATTTTACACAATTAAAACTCGTGTGCCAGTTGCGCCGAAACCTTGGGAAGTTAAGACTTAACCACCGTGGTCCACGCTCGTTACATCCCAAATAGACTACTGCAATGCGCTCTATGTGGGATTGCCTTTGAAGAAGTTCAGAAGCTTCAAGTGGTCCATCGGTTAGCAGCCAGATTTCTAACTGGAGCGGGGTACAGGGAGCACACAACCCCCCTGTTGCCTCAAATCCATTGGCTGCCAGTCTGCTACCGAGCACAATTCAAAGTGTTGGCTTTAACCTATAAAGCCCTAAAAGGTTCTGGCCCAGCTTACTTGTCTGAACATGTCTCCCTCTATGAACTATCTCAGAGGTTAAGATCTTCTGGAGAGGCCCTGCTCCCAATCTCACCTCCTTTGCAAGCATGACTGGTGTGGATGGGAGATAGGGCCTTTTCAGTGGTGGCCCCTCGGCTCTGGGATTCCCTCCCCAGTGAAATTAGATCAGCCTCTCCCTCCTGGCCTTCAGGAAGAATGTAAAGACATGGCTATGGGACCAAGCCTTCTGGCAGTAAGTACTGCAGCACAAGGAATAAATCGGAAATAAGTGCAATTTGACAACCGGGATGGATTCAGACTACAATTTCGGATCACGTGATTTTAAATGTTAATACTAAGATGCTTTAATTCTCTGTTTTAAATTGTTTAAATATTATGTTTTATGTTTAATATTATCTTAGTGGTTTTAATTTATAGTTATATATCATTGTTTTAGTTATATGCTTTGTTTGTATGTATGTAAGCAGTATATAAAAGTAGTAAATAAATAAATAACTGCTTAAATTATCTGATCATTTCCTTGTGAAACCAGGAAGCAGTCTTCCAAACTTTTCCTTCCTGACCAAAGTGTCTCCAGGGAATAAAACCCAGGATTTCTTCAGTTCCATAATCCTGTCCTGCAATTATCAGTCTCTGTTGGAAAATTAAGGACTCATGCAATTTCTGACTCTTTCCTGCAGGAGAAAACACCTCTCCCTTTTGGCAGTACCTCCAAATCTTAGAATGATCGTTAGAAGAAAACCACAAAGGTCACCCAGTCCAACCCCATTCTGTAATGCAGGAATATACAATCAAGCACTCCCGACAGATGGCCACACAACCTCTGCTAAAAAAACCTCCAGAAAAGGAGATGCCACCACACTCTGAGGCAACATCTTCCACTACCAAAGAGCTCTTGCCATTGGGAAAATCTTCCTAATGTTTTGGTGGAATCTAAACACTGGGGAAAACTTCCCAGCAGTAAGAGCTGTTCAAGAGTGGAATACACTCCTGCCTCAGAGTGCGAAGTCTTCGCTCAAGCTTTTCATTCTCAGCGGAACCACCTTTGCAGATGTTTATTCTGTCTGGCCTTGTGGTGGCAAAATACATACTTCATACAGAGAACTAACCTTGATTGATTCCCGCATCTCCATGACGAAGGAACGCCGTGCTGCAACCTCAGAGGGCTCGATTTTGAACTTGAGCGGGTTTGACTCCACAATGCGTGTTAACAGTTAAGTGTAAAGAGCTTTCAGTTTCTGAGTTTTGAAAGTGAAGGGAGACCAACTAAAAACATGATTGTGACCCTACACTGGGATTTCATTTCATATAGCTTCCAACTCAGGGGTGGATAACATGTGGCCCTCTATGGTAGACTCTAACTCACATCACTGCTTGCTACTAGATATGTTGGCTGAAGCTGACAGGTGTTGCTTACTAACATCTGGATAGCCACAATGGTCCATCTAGCCCAGGCATAGGCAAACTTTGGCCCTCCAGGTGTTCTGGACTTCAACTCGCACAATTTGAATTGTGTGAGTTAGAGTCCAAAACACCTGGAGGACTGAAGTTTGCCATGCCTGATCTAGCTGTAATGGGAATCCCTATTATTCTCTTTAATTCGATCAAAATGCTTAATAAGAGGACTGCAGAAACAACTCCCTGCAGTTCTAGCAGCCATATGTATATGGAGCCTCATGCACATACTACTGAATAACTATGGGCATTGTAAAGGTTTTACTCCCTCTCAATGAGTATGTCTCAGTGCCTTAAGACAAGAGGCAGCAACTGATGTAAGCTGGATGTGGCAATGCTCTCTGATGGGATCTAGCAGGGTCACACCCTCCAGTGGTTCTCAACCTGTGGGTCCCCAGATGTTTTGGCCTTCAACTCCCAGAAATCCTAACAGCTGGTAAACTAGCTGGGATTTCTGAGAGTTTTAGGTCAAACTACTTGGGGACCCACAGGTTGAGAACCACTATGCTAAACCCTTAAAATCACTATGGAAGCCTTTTGCATTCCTGGAAGCCGTGACTGGGTTACTTTTACTATATTTTGGAACCTCCATGGGCTGCGTTAGGCCCAGCAGAAAAGACGCAAACTGGAAGTAAGTGGACACTTTACACCCTACTTCAAAAAGGCCTCTCACAGGATTCAAATAGTACTGAGGGCCATGGCAAAATTGTTCTCACAATTGCTAGGAGGCGTCTTATGCATCCACATAAATTGGTATAACCCAACAACCTCATGGGATGCAGGGAAGCTGCTCTGGGAGCTTCAAAACTGGCCTGCAATCCACCACCCACACTCCCCACCTCCCCTGCGCCAGCAACCAGACTCAGAGGGATATATATGGTTTCCTCCAGATCCTCCAAGTCCCACTCGATGCTGCGTAAGCTGTTGCGCAGTTCATTAGTTGTCCAATCCAGCTCCTCCTTGCTGACATGCTTCACCTCCAGCAGCTGGCACCAGCGCATATAGAGTCCACGGGCTGTGTTCACGGCTTTCTGAACCTCCCTGTGGAACAGAGGCAAGAGCACTTCTTACAAGGACACAAGCTTTTTTCTTTACCTTAGTTATTTCAACAGGCTTATAGGAACTGATTACAGGAGCTTTTAATTGAATGTTTCTGGTTGATTTTCATTCTCTATTCCAAATGAGCTTCTTTAAAATGTTTTAATTCTACACAATGTTTAATATATACAATACGACCCCCATATCCATAGGACTGGTAGCCATGTTTTCATTGATCCACATCTAATACTGCTCTCAAGGCATTTCCTAGCTTCTCCAGGACTGCTTTTGGGCCAGAAATCCTTACTTCAAATAGAGCTTGCTATTATCCATGGTTTTATGTATCCAGGTGAAGGCCAAGAATGTACTCCCGCTGATATGGGGACACACTACATTTGTACTGATGCTTTTGCATCAATTTTAGCCTATATGTTCTTGTTTCCCAGTTCTGAGTCATAGTACAGGCCATCCCCAAATTGCAAACAAGATAGGCTCTGTAGGTTTGTTCTTACGTTGAATTTGTTTGTAAATTGAACAGGTACATGTTTTAAGTGTAACACTAGCCAAATATACATGTATTAGCTTTGGATAGCATAGGAAAGAGTTGATACCCCTGTGGTGTTTCTTTTCCTGTTTGTGCCCCTGTTCAGAAGATTTTACCTTACTTTCTGTCCCGGTCATCGTAACATTTTGAAAAATCTGGCTTGTTGTGGAAACAAGGACTGGTGAGAACGCTTCAGTGGAGACACTTTTCACTCATGAAAACTCTTTCAGGAGTGGATTTCCTTTCAAGAAGTAGATTCCTCTCACTTCCTGTTGTCTCACCTCTGTTCTTAACTGTGAGCTGTTTGTAAGTTGGATGTTTATAACTCGGGGACTGCCTGTTTTGGGGACACATTTCAGCTTGGCTTCAGGCCTGAATTTAACTTGACTAGAAGAACGTAGGTGGGGAGACCCTCTGAATGCCTTTGGGCCTCTCGGCCGCTTGTGAAGTCACCCTGGAGGCGGAGGAGATGGCATGCTCCAGTGATGCTTGGCTGAATTTAGAAGGTGGTGCTGGGAGAACAAAGGGGGGAATCTGGAAGGCATCTACTTGCTGGTTGCAGAGACACGGCACTTAGTCTCTGCCATGTGTTCCTTCCCAGGGAAAAGTAGCAACAGGAAGGGATTTGAAGGTTCCCATCTGTAAATGGTTCCCATCTGTGGAAAATGACTGCCAGCACCCAGCTCCATTTCTAGAATTCTGACAGATTACAGCACATGGTATAGTAAAATGGTATACCTTATATACAATGGCAAAATCAAGGTTTGCTTTTTGGATCATAAAAAATATTTTCAAGCCATGGATGGTTGAACACATGGATACCAAATGTGTGGACAGAGAAGGCTGACTGCAAGAACCTATGAATTACATTATGCAGTTCTTGTGGGTTTTTTCGGGCTATATGGCCATGTTCTAGAGGCATTTCTCCTGACGTTTCGCCTGCATCTATGGCAAGCTTCCTCAGAGGTGAGGTCTGCTGGAGCTGGGAAAAAAGGGGTTTATATATCTGTGGAAAGACCAGGGTGAGACAAAAGGCTTTTGTAAGTTGGGCTAGGTGTGAATCTTTTCAATTGACCACCTTGATTAGCATACAATGGGCTGACTGTGCCTGGAGCAAACTCTTCTTGAAAGGTGATTAGATGTCCCTGCCTGTTTTTCTCTCTGCTGTTTTAATTTTAGAATTTTTTAATACTGGTAGCCAGATTTTGTTCATTTTCATGGTTTCTTCCTTTCTGTTGAAATTGTCCACATGTTTGTGGATTTCAATGGCTTCTCTGTGTAGTCTGACATGGTGGTTGTGAGAGTGGTCCAGCATTTTTGTGTTCTCAAATAAAATGCTGTGTCCAGGTTGGTTCATCAGGTGCTCTGCTATGGCTGACTTCTCTGGTTGAAGTAGTCTGCAGTGCCTTTCATGTTCCTTGATGCGTGTCTGGGCGCTGCGTTTGGTGGTCCCTATGTAGACCTGTCCACAGCTGCATGGTATACGGTAGACTCCTGCAGAGGTGAGAGGATCCCTCTTGTCCTTTGCTGAACGTAGCATTTGTTGGATTTTCTTGGTGGGTTTGTAGATTGTTTGTATGTTGTGTTTCCTCATCAGCTTCCCTATGTGGTCAGTGGTTCCCTTGATGTATGGCAGGAACACTTTTCCTCTGGGTGGATCTTCATCTTTACTCTCGTGGCTTGTTCTTGGTCTTGCAGCTCTTCTGATGTCTGAGGTGGAGTCTCCATTGGCCTGGAGAGCCCAGTTGAGGTGGTTCAGTTCATCTTGGAGGAGGTGGGGTTCGCAGATTCTTTTTGCACGGTCTGCCAAGGCTTTGATGGTGCTTCTTTTTTGACTTGGGTGATGGTTGGAGTTTTTATGTAGATATCTATCTGTGTGTGTGGGTTTTCTGTAGACGGTGTGACCCAATTGTTGAGCTGGTTTGCGGATGACTAGGACATCTAGAAAAGGCAGTCTTCCTTCATTTTCTTTTTCCATGGTGAACTGGATGTTTGGGTGGATGCTGTTGAGATGGTCCAGGAACCTGTTGAGTTCTTCTTCTCCATGGCTCCAAATGGTGAAAGCGTCATCCACATATCTGAACCATATCGTGGGCTTTTTGTTGCTGTTTCCAGGGCTTGTTTTTCAAAGTGTTCCATGTAGAAATTAGCTATGCGGGCTGAGAGGGCTCCCCATAGCTACTCCATCTTTCTGTTCGTAGAATTCATTGTCCCACTGAAAGTAACTGGTGGTGAGGCAATGGTGAAACAGAGCCGTGATGTCTTCTGGGAACCTCTGGTTGATGAGTGCCATGGTGTCTGCAATTGGGACCATGGTAAATAGAGACACCACATCGAAGCTGATCAGTTTGTCATTTGTATTTAGCTTATTTACATTTACATTATGTCTAGCTGGAAGTCAGCTGTGACCAGCAGAGCTGTGGAATTTGAAGAGGTACGAATGGAGGGTGAAAGGGACAAACATGCCAAGAGGAAGGCACAGCAAGCCAACTCTTACCGGGATCATTTCCACCTGGAAACTGATGCCCTCATTGTGGAAGAACATGTGGGTCAAGAATAGGGTTCTACAGTCACCTACGTACCCACCACCAAGACACTACGCTTGGAGGGCCATCATGCTTGGACAACAAGGGTTCACCTAAGCCTAAGTCAAGTAACAAACTTTGAGAAATACTCTGTTCCTGGTTTGAAAGTGTTGTTTCCTGTTTAATTGTGCGGCTCTTGATTTGAAAGTAGTTGTTATACTTCAGAAACTTTGTTTTTGTGGTTGCCGCAAACTATATTGAATTGGTTGTTATAACACTCCAAGCAGTGAGTGATTCTGTGTATGGGGAGAACGAACTGTGGAAGATATCAAACATTTCTTGATTGACTGTCCAGCATATACTGAACTGCGATACAGATATTTACATCCAATATTATCCAGTTTTACGGTGCTCCATGCAGTCATGCTGTCAATGGACAACGCTGGCTCTTCAGCTTAGAAATGGATGAGCACCACACCCGAGTTGGACACAACTGGACTTAATGTCAGGGGAAAACCTTTACCTATTATCCACTTTAGGTCCCCCAACAGAAATGATCTTCTGACTTTCCTCTTGCAAGGGCAAGAAAGATCCACCATAATCAAAGTAAGCCTTTTTATTCTGAAAGCTATCAAGAAAAGAACAAATTTCCTGAAAGAAGATCCAGGAAAATAAGATTCTGACTATAAATAGAAGGTCACCTGCTCTTCTCTCCTTTTTACCTTGTCTTTTACTCGTGTTGTATTTTGGTCATATGGCTGGTCAAATAAACAAATTATTATTATTTTACTGACACAAAAACACAGTATGTCACAGCAAATGAGATCTATATGCTGGATTTCGTATCACAAAATCACAAGTCGAACACTTCCTAAGCATCTAGGACTGTGTGATGTATTTTCGAATGATGTGCACTGATCCAAGTAAGGTGGCCTCTTGTAGCGGACAGATCGTGATTTTATCAATGTTTATTCTTTCCAAATGCTGGCTGAAATCTTTTGGCCGATGATCACTGGAACCACCTGTACTGGTTTATGCCAGAGCCTTATTAATGAATTATTATTTAGAATTTATAATAATAATAATAATAATAATAATAATAATAATAAAAAATATAACAATGTATTTATTTATTTTAATATTATTATTATTATTATTATTATTATTATTATTGAATTGGTTGAGACTCTAGGAGATATTCATTGAAAAACTATAGCAAAATGTGCTGCAGGATGTCCCGCAAAAACAAAAGTTTGGCAGTTTTATAAACTTTGTCCATGTTTGTATGATAAAAGCAATTAGGGAATGGCATTTATAACTCAGGAACAAAAATGGTGTTCCTACAAGAGAGGCCTGAAACATGTCACTAATTCCTTCAAGTTCCTTATATCCTGCTGGGCAATTGTGCTCTCCAGAGCAATAGAGAGAAACCAAACCACCCATGCTGTTAAGTTATATTTCTGATGCAGGCGTGGGCAAACTTCGGCTTTCCCTCCAGGTGTTTTGGACTTCAACTCCCACCATTCCT